GGCTACTCAAATATTTTACGTTTTTGATACTAAATTAACTTCTGAAGTATAATTTTTTATTGTTTTTATATTTTTCAATATATTTATTTTGTTTGTACAAAATAAAAAAATAATTTTGAACGATACAATAGTCTTCGTTAGGCTTAACATCGACGAAAATTCAACGCGAAGCGACACGCAACGGAGAAAAATTTTAACACGGGATAAATTAATATATTTTTTCGTACGTAATTGGTTATCCGAAAAATAGGTTATCCGAACAACCCCAGTCCCCAATTGATTCGGATAAACGACGCTCTACTGTAGTTACATAACAATGAAAGCATTAAATCTTATATAGTAACTGATTAAATATCAGTTATTAGTAAGTAATGAGATTGTTTATTTAATTAATTGTTGGTTGTTTTACAAATTTTAGGTATACAATGCATTATATACCGTATTCAACATGTTGCTACAGATTAGAGACATCTGGTTGGGAGTAGATTCGAAATGTGTTGCTTCGAAACATTCAATTTCACCTCTCAATGCTACAGAGACGGTTTCTCAGAAATGAATACTGCAACAAAATCGATTAAGAAGTTAGAGATTTAGTACAAATTTTAACAAAGTTAGAGTTTAACAAAACATCAAATTCACTAAGGTATTAAGAATCCTACTACACTGAATACGTTACCATTGCACTGATTAGAAATGTATAATTAGAGAAAAATTATATTCTACCTGCAATGATGAGATGTATTCGCACTGAAGTGCATTAAGACATTCATATTTGTAATAATTTTTAAATTAATTTTAGGTGGTGAATGTTTCACATCTTTAAGCTGAAATATAATAGAGTTATTACAAAAAATAAAAAGCTACAAGTGCAGCCTATAAGTGCGCTGTAAATCAATGTTCTCTGTCATGGAATGCCCGAAAACATTGATTTACAGGAGACCAAACAGAAAATGTTTACATTTTTTTCCTTTTTTTGTTATTGGAATGATAGTTTAAGTTTATTTAATTCCTAGTGTTATGGCCATGACATCAAAATGGTGGTAAAAATCAAATACTTGTAAACAATCTCGATATTCACTTCATAACTATTATATTTCTTGATTGTGTTCATAGGCGATTTTAAATATTTTATTGACGATTAAAGGATAATTTTTGTATTATATTTGTAATTTTTTTTCAATAATTACATGTCATTATAAAGATTATTATAAATAACTGTAAACAAAAGAATAATAAAACCACTTTTTACTAACCTTTAACATGCAGTCTTTTTATTAACGAATAATGAAACAGTCAGAAAAGAATTCAATTATGTAAAATTAAAAGTTTAGTTGAAACAAAGTTTAATACACTTTGGTTCAACAGATAAGCAGATTTTCAGGAGAACACTTTGTCGTATGGCAATAAAATTGACTTGGTGCCGGACAGACAAAAGTGATCGTCGCATTTGTTGGACACAGAAGTCACAATCCTCGTAGAGCAATTATGTTAGGAAGCGCGACAATTGAGTTATGAAGCTTTGACTCTACTGTAAATGTAAACGAAGTAATGGGCCCGTATTTTTTACATATGAAGAGACCCTCGTTACATTTTTAAATTTTTCGTCGCAATTAATGGAAAATAGCAAAGTGTCGGCAAAAGACGACCATCAGATTTCGCGAACGAACTAAATTCTATAAGCCTAGAGAAGACGTGCTAGTGACCTAAATACATCGCCGGACACAGTCGTGCGATTCTTGCGATATCGCTTTGTCTCGTCCCCTACTATAACCTTGTATTACGAAAAACTGCACACTTCCGAATAAAATTAATTGCGAAGTATTCTTTTGGCAATTAATAATTTCAAAAATAAAAATTAAAGCAGTGTTTAATCTCATTACTTTCATATTTTTATATTCTTTTATATAAAGTAATATAAATGCGTGACATAGACATAAAATTTCTTCTGGCTTATATAACGACCAAAACTTACTCTGTACATAGAAACACTTCGATTGTCATTGACGTTCCATAAACTAAATCGATATTTATTGTCAAATATAAACTGCATTTAGAGATATCAAGTAAAATCTAGAAGGATAATATCACACACAATTTCCATTATAAATAAACTTTGGTCCGAAATGTTACGCTACTCTTTTCTGGATTTTTATTTATGAAAAACAAAAATTTGGTCTGCGTTGTCGTCATAAATCAGCTAAAAAATTCAAAAATGTAAAACACAGAGGGAGGTTTCCTGACGAGGTCCCTTTCATCGTAAGGCCAAATGCAGTTGTCTGTTTTGTTTCGTGGAAAATTCGTCACTGTCGCATGATTGAAAGCAAACTTTATGTAACTTGCAAGTAAAAGCAACAAGTTTCACTCTCAATATGTAGCCTATTTGTGACAGGACTCTGAAAACTCTTTACTTGTCAGAACCTGTAATATCTAAAATAATTGTGCTTATGCTGTTATCATTTTCAACCATGTCCAGTAGCTTCAATAACTGCATTTTGCCGGGTTGTGCAAATTGGGCAAGGATACAAACGAGTACAAAGAATGCAAAGTATGAAGTTTTTCTTCATAAACCTGATTATTAAAACCAAACGAACTGCCAAATTATAGGGCTGCAAGTTCGATGCCGCTATTAAACAGCCGACATAGACAAATCAAGAAACGGCAAAAGAAATACTGTAACGTATTTTAAAAACGAACTAGAAATCTTCCAGGCTACGGGTGAAAAACACATAACATTCGTCTACTTTTAAATGCATTAAAAATTTAGTCGCTTGTTTGTTTGATCCTTGCGTCCATGGAGTCATCTGGCAAGGCCGACATTGGGGAACTTAAATTTTCTGCATATGAAATCCTAGATGAACTTAAGGGATATTTTAGTGACAATGGATCTAGAAAGCTATGCTCAGGCTAGAATCAGGACTACATCATCTCTACTGTCCAGCCAATATTCAACTTATTCAACAAAGGTCTTACTGACATGAAATTTGCCATACTCGAGGAGAAAATTGACATTTTGCTTGCCTGTGAAGAGAAAAACTCGCTTTTGGAGAGCCAGCAGAATATTCTCTCCAAACTCTCTGTCGTAGAGGTCCGGACTGACAGACCTACTCAGCTGTCGTACAGAGACACTCTTGTCTCGGGCACTACAACCACTCATCCACCTAAGCAGAAGCCGCATAGCAGCAATATTCTTCTGGTATACAATTTCACAGAGGATAAAAACAGCGACAAAACGAAGAACATACTCTGCAAGCATATCAAGTCTTCCCAAATAGGCATAGGTGTTAACAGAATCAGGAATGTGAAAAACGAGAGTATTGCTATTGAGCTCACTAAGAAAGAAATTATTAATACTTTCACCACAGCCATTCAAAAATCTATACCTGGGCTAGTCATCCGCACACATCAAAAATGCGCCTTCCTACCCTCATCCTAGTTTCTGTTCCAAATAATTACGAGCCTGAAGAACTTAACTAATATAAAGTCAAAATGAATCTATAAACACTGTCTACAATAAGGAAAAATTTACAGAAGAACTGCACTTTTAAATTTCAGACCAGGAGAAAAAATAAAAATTTCACTAACTGGGTCATAACTGGGAAAACTGAATGTCTACTGGTCCAGATGTAGAATACAAACTTCCATCCAGTTAACATATGCTATAAATGCTGTAGATACGGACATAGCACCAAAATCTGCAAGCAACAGGAATCCACCTGCAGCCAATGCACACTGCAGCCAATGCATCCAATCATACCTATCGGGACTGCCCTAATATAAACAAGCAACCAACTTGCAGGGTTACTCCTGGATAGATGTTACCACCAGCACCAAAAACTGCTGCAACCTGATAAACAACTGGACTGTTCAAGAAGTAGATTCCCTCAGTGGCCATGCATACATAAACTTCCAGACCAACCATCATTCCTTTAACTGCCTTTCCAATCCTCTTAGATTTCGGACCTCTAGGGCCAATTGGAACATTTTTGCCAACTACGTATCCAATT